TGACGCAAGGCGTGCGCTGGGGGAAAGTTTCAAGGTTTTTACACGTGCAGATGTTAGCCCGATTCTTTAGTTGGAAACCTGAGAAATAAACCAACGTCGATCAAGAGTAAAAATTGACATTTATTGGGTCACAGGTAAAGTATTTCAGCGCTGGGCTCTTCACAGACAAAAACCTCTCTCTGGATCTCTGAGATCTGGGTGATGGGCATTATCTCCTGGGCTTGATCCGCCTCCTCAAAGGAGGACTGGACACAACCAAGTCCTATTGGCCAGTTAGCTCTGGGCACGAACAGGCCAGGTCCTAATTCATGCAGATGACAGGAATGTGGTAACAAATGGTGTGTGTGTGTGTTGACTTAAAGACGTGGATCTAATGCAACAGAGAAAGAAAAGAGATAAAGAAAAATAGAGAACAAAGAGAATCTGTGGACACAGCCAGAGACTTCAACACAAAATATAGTTATACAGTGGGGGAAATAAGTATTTGACCCCTTGCTGATTTTGCAGGTTTGCCCACTTACAAAGAATGCAACGATCTATAACTTTAATCATATGTACATTCTAACAGTGAAAGACAGAATCCCAAAGAAAATTCCAGAAAATCACATCATATGAATTTATAAAAATTGATAACCATCTGATGAGGAAAAATAAGCATTCTTTGTAAGTGGGCAAACCTGCAAAATCAGCAAGGGGTCAAATACTTATTTCCCCCACTGTAAAAGAAATAAAACAATCAGTAATCTACACAGATCATGTGATAGCATGCTATGCTAAAGTGAGTATTTTTAGCCAAATCCTAACACACGAAAAGGGTGAAACCCCCGTTTATTTATTTATTTGATTAGGGACAAAGCACATTAATGAACATCAGTGGAAAAACAAATGTAAATATGCCGGATTGTAGCTACACAGCTAATTTTCATCCGTAGTCCCTAGGCAGGCAAAGGCGTAAAAAAACAACATATAATAAACAATATAAGCATCACAATTAAAAGTTTAGGTTTTAGCGGTCACATGACTGGCTTTTGCTTTCATCCAAAGTTTTAAGTTGATCCATAAACCTCTGACCGTGTCCCTGTCCCTCAGTTTGATCTCCAGGATGCTTCAGAAGGACCCGGCCCGCCGCGCTTCTCTGGCCCAGATCGAGGCCCACGGCTGGCTCCAGGGGTTGGACAACCCCCTGCTCAGCCCGGAGCCCCCCCCCTACTGGCTGTCCGGGGCCCTGTCCCCCACCTCCACCCGCTCGGGGGCCTCCGAGTGCGGGGACCTTCTGGCCTCCAGGCCCCCCGGGCCCCACCAGGCCTCCCCGGGCCCCTGGCAGCCCAGCCTGAGCCTCAGCATAAGGCCCGCCCCCCCCACCGAGGAGCCCCCGGGGGGGCGGGGCCTAACCGCCCTGCAGCAGATCTGCGAGGAGGAAGAGGAGGAGGAGGATGAAGAAGAGGAGGAGGAAGAGGTGGAAGGAGGTTCAGGTGATGCTGAGGAGAAACAGGAAGTAGCAGACAATCAGGAAGTGGAGGATCAGGATGAGGATCTGGGGAACTTTGTGGAGGACAAAACCGAAACGGGGAGCCAAGACAGTCGCCGTGTGATCTCAGATCAACCTGTCAATCACGCCGACGGGCGGCTAGCCCCGCCCCCTTTGGCGCCCGCCTCCCCCCCGCCCGAAATTAGTCTGTCCTGCTGTCCAGGGCAACCGGAGGAAGAAGAGGAGGATGAGGAGGTGGAACCCAACAATAACACCAACAAAAACAAGCCTCCTCCCACTCCTCCTCCGATCCCAGAGTCGGACTCCTGCCTCTCCTGTGGCTCCGCCTCCTCGGGCAGGGGGGCGGAGCCTAGGGAGGAGCCTCGGGGGGAGGAGCCGAAGGGGGCGGAGCCAAGCGGGAAGCAGCACGGCGTCAAGCTGCGCCAGAGACTCTTCCAGTTCCCGCTGTGCGAAAAGGCGCTGGCCTTCAACCTGCCCTCCACAAACAAGCCCAAAATCCTGCCGCTGGCCCAGTACAACTGCTGCCACGTGCTGTGAGCAGGCCGCGATCGCTCGTTTTTCTGGAGCAACAGGCCCGAATCCGGACCCCAACGCTAACCGGGACTCTGAGGAGACTTTCTGAATAAGCTAAAGCCCTTTCTGTTTGTCTGAAGGTGCCTATGAGGACAAAAAATGGACTCACACTGTACAAGAACTGCTGTGTCGTTTAGGGTTAGTCGATTTTACACCGTCTACGTCATCCTTAATAACAAAAACAGAAAAAGAAATGAAGCTAACGTAGCCCGTTTAGACAGAATAAAAGGAGAATTTAATCATTTTTCAACAACACCACTTTTATTTAGCGTAAAGCTTTGGCTATCAGATCCACACAGATGAGTTGGAATGGGATTTGGTGGAGTCTTTTCGAGTTTGTTGAGGTTTCTTTGCCCCGTTTTAGCTCACTGAGGTTTCACTCACACCTGACAGCCGAAAAAGGACGAGTTTTCTCTAATGTGTCACTGTCTGAGCAGGGTCTAAAAACTACCTAATGCGTCTGTTGTGGAGCCTCATCATTAGATACGAACTTTAATTTGATTTTTCTAACTTAAACATGCAAACTCTTCACTTTTAAAAGTCTTATGAAGAAGTCAAATTAAACACTTGACATTTCAGCAAATTTTTATTTTTCACATAAACCTTCAAAATATTTCCTCTTTTGAATGTTTTAAGTCACTTTTTTCCATTTTCCAGATGATAAATTGCCTCTCCGACCATTCAGAGGCTCGTTTTTGCATAAACACCCTTTATTTTCACCCCAAAAGTTAAAAAAAAACTTCCACTTTGTGTGGAAATTGCAGCTGTCCATTTTTCATCCTGATCAAAATGTTGACAGGATGCTCTGTTAACTCCTCCGGATCAGTAAACCTCTTCCAGACTCTTCCACTTGCCGTTTTACGCTCAAATACACGTGGGAATAAGGTTGAAAAATGTTGGAATTGGACTAATTTAAGATCATCAGCTTTGTGGCTTCGCCTGAGGAATGTTGAGTTAAAAAAATATAAATAAATAAAAAACAAGAAGAAGAAGCAGCAGGTTGAGGGCTGCATCTCTCTGGACCAGCTTCTGCTTCCTTTTCCCTTTGCACAGCCTGCTTCTCCCCCCGGTTTGGCAGTTCCTAGCATTAGCTTGTATGAGGACAGACTGTTATGATTCGCTAACACTGTATATTCCCCCTCTGACCGATGGCCGGCGCCCGGCGCTGCTCTCTCTCTCCGTGCTGAATCGTAGAAATAGGCCGGCTTGCTCTAACAAACCGTGTGAATCTATCATGGGGGTCATGAGTTGGGATGCAGGTCTCCCAATCTTTTTGTTTTTTTGATCACATTTAATATCCGATCAGAACGTTTTTATCTTGGATGTGATTATACAAAGCTCCTTATTTTTCTTTTTTTATATATATATATATATATAACGTGACAAAGATATTGATTCTCTGAGGAGATGTGCGACTCTGCATGTTGTTCCTGTTGTTTATCACCACATATACCTCCTTGTGTCTTGGAAAAACTGACGGGACATCCATTGTTCTTGTGTATTTATAAGCACCTTGAGGTAACCCACCCGAATGATGAATTGCACACAGTGTGACGACTGTATCTGGTAGCTTTCTACTCGCAGTATCCGGGGACTCGCGGGCTAGATTCAGACTCACGATGACTCGTTTATTGTGTAGCCGAGGACTCGGTTTTTACGTAGTATTATCTGACCACGTGGTGGCTCCGTTTGGTGTGTCGTTCCCCCTCCCAGAGCAGAAAGAGAGGAGGGCAGAGCTGCACAGGACAGGACGTCCTCCCCTGATTATGACTCATCAGCCGTGGAGGCTTAAGACCTGTGCGACAAAAGAGAAGGAGGGGATAAAAATAAATATGATTTGTTCCCGTGCGGCTGCGGCCCGTCTCTCTCCTTCTGCGTCTGCTGACCTGCATTTTAACCAGGACCGCGTCTCTATGAGCCATGAACTTATTTTTCTGTATTTATTTATTAAAATGGATTAAGCAAACACAATGGGTGCGTTCAATGGCTTTATTTCACAGATACTCGGGAATATCATTTTGATAAAGCTTAATTACACCAAAGAAAAGTGTGTAAATATATACTTAGTAGTTTGGGTTTATGTTATATTTTTATTATTATAATTACTATGCGTGTGTGTTTAATTTGAATTTAAAGTAACTTTCTAATATATAAACATAGATACAAAATATTTATCAAAAATGTGTAAATTTCTTTTATCTAACACTTTAAGATAAGGTAAACATATTTCAAGCTAAAACATTTTTTTAACTTAACTTTAATCATAGAAATGATCAATCTGACTTAAATGGTAGCCAGTTTTCTAAAATACTGTTCCATGAATCCGGATATCCACGTGCTTCTCTTCATTTGCACATCACTCAAACAGCTGCAGCCACTTGAGGACATCTCATGAATGTTTTTGGTCTCAGCATCCATCTCAACCATCACAGGTGTGGGCACGTGGCGCCACCTGGTGGCTGTGCACGTGCTTAACACTTTACCACAAAACAAATATAAAAAGATCAGTTCTGTTTTCGGTTAATGTGGAAGAAAGTGGGGACATGTTGGCTTCAGGCTCTGAATATGAATCATTATTATTATCATTATTATTAATACAGAACAAGAACAAACTTCAGCCCGTCTTTCTACTTCGTCTTTACTGAAAAGTTTATTTGGCTCAGTGAGATACAATATCCAGTGGTTTCTACTTATGAACTAAATCTATCAACAGAAGGAATCTTTTCGGATGCTGAATCAGATTTAATTAACTTTTTTTAGGGCTCAACGAGGGAGAGGAGGCCATTAGTGTTCAACTTATCAGGTTAGTTTATTGTTCACCCAATCAAGGGAAAAATATGCTGCAGCTACAAAATGCTCTTTGTAAGCATGTAAGGGTATATTCAACAGGCCGTAACATTAAAACTTTGAATTTAAAGACAGTGAAAAATGCACACAATGGGATTTGAAAGTTTTATTTCTGCATAAATATCACTCAAATCATCAAGCTTTCACACAGACCTAAGATAGGGTGAGTTAATTGCTAATGTATTGATGGAAATGGGGCAGAATTGCACATCAGTGAGTGAGAGAAGTGTGCTTTTATGTGACTCACTAGTGAATAAATAAGTGAATGTATTCATTTTCATATTAGATCTGCAAAGTGATCTGATATGATTTCTTTGTACCGGGACCGTTCAACACAGGCAGTATTTTGTCATTAATTTATTTATCTAATTGATTTGCTCAGGTTGGTTGCCTCTTTAACACCTGTCAAATTTGTTAAATTGGGGGTTACAATTTCAAGAAAACTGCCCTGTTTACATTGTCTCCTGAAAATGTTATTTAGATTAGAATTTATGTTTACATCGTTGACATATTTGAACAGAAACCGTTCTGACATGCGCAGAAGGGTCAGACTCTCCGGAAACAGTAGAAGAAGAAAGTTTGATTTCCGATGTAAACAAGCATTGTCGCTTTCCTCAACCAACACTAATGAACAGTTTGGTTTTTCTTTTGCTTTTACCGTTGAGATGTTTATTAATTACATGTTAATTTTACATGTATCGGATATCAACCAGTTTTGTTTTCCCGCCACTTCTTCCTCTCGCTGCAACGATGAAGCGAAGATGCGTCTTTACGTCACGTTGAATCGAACGTACGCCGGACGGTACGAGCATGCGCAGTAAGTGTAATATCTACCTGAATTTCACTTATTGTTAATAATGTATGCATTATCTTCCCATGTGAAAGAAATATTTTCAAAACACTCAGATTTCCGTGTTTAAATGATAAAAAAAAACGTTTTCAAACGTTATGCTTGTGTCCATGTAAATATAGCTAAAGCGAACAAGCCCTCCAGGGCTAAAGCAGCAAAGCCAGCCCAAACCATCATGCTTCCACTTCCCTCTTTCAACAACAACATACTGTTGTGTGGATATTAAAGCCATTTTTCCAACAGTCTTCCATCCTGTCTCTTTTCTGACAAAATGAGCATGGAAAACTGTTTTTTACCGTTTGTTTACTGTCCTTCCGAAACCCCTCGGACTAATTAATCCCCATCCTTTAAATAAATCAGTGCCACTTCCATTTCAATTCACGCACCTCTATCAGAAAGGTTGCTTTGCCACTCACAGATTTGTACTATTTAAGCGTTTTCCCATAAATAAACCAGGGAAATGGCAAACAAACTTTTGGAGTTTGTGCAACATGTTCCAGATGTTGCTGGTAGCTATTGTTATGTAATTATTAATCTGAATACTTTAAAGCAGCTCGTGATAGCGCATAAAAAAAGAAGTCTTTCAGCCTTTTGGTGCTGGATACGCATGACTACCATGTCCTGTGTGTCCCTTTCTACATGTGGATGATACACAAATCAGTCACATTAAAGCTACCAACTGGGCCACGACATTCCTTTCACTGTCCAATATTCGAAACACACTTTTCCGCCATTTTGTTAGCTGCTTTTTTAGCTGGATAGCATTGAGTGTGCACATAAGCAGCGTGTGAAGGCAGCAAAAACACTGGGGTCTGGGGCCCTCCTTAAGCTCTTCTCCTCCCCTTTGAGGATTGAGGATTTTCCCCTCCGGTGTCCCTAAAACACCGACCTGGAATCGGGGTTAGGACTCTTCTCCCTGCTGTTTGTGGAAATAAAGACAGGCGGAGTGTCACAGAGAGCGAGCGGGAGGCTGAGATGTTTGAGGAAAGGGGCCGACCTGCTGTCTCAGGGCCCTCATGGACCTGTACTCCATGCGCTCCCTCTTTTTTCGGATCCAGCCCGGCTCGTCTGGGATCAGCGCCGCCATGATGAGCTTTATTATGATCAGCAGGTGCTGCAAACACAGAGTCAAAGATAATCCACAAGTGGAGGGCTAACTAAAGATAAAAAAAACAAATAAGAGAACTGAGAGCCTCATACAAGTCATTACTGTTACTTTTGTAATTTTCTGGGGTCTCTAACAGGATTTAAGCTTTTTGTTTTTGTTTTTTTGTCTTTTTTTACATATTTTCTCATCTGTTTTTTTTTGTTGTATTTTTTCTCTGTGTGTTTTTCCGCTGTCGCTTCAGTTTTCAGTTTTCGGCTTAGTGCAAATATTCACAGATTTCTATGCTGTCCAACATGTAAATAACTTAATTTTTTCTTTTATTGAGCTAATCAAAACTAATCCACAAGTGGAGGGATAACTAAAGACAAGGAGAGATAAAAGACCTGAGGGCCTCGTACAAGTCATTACTGTTACTTTTGTTATTTTCTGGGGTCTCTGACAGAATCTGAGCTTTTTGTTTTAGTTTTCTTTTCTTTTTTTCACATTTTTCTCTTGTTTTATCAATTTTTTTTATTTTTCTCTGTTTGTTTTTCCTCTGTCACTTAAGTTTTCAGATTCTTTTTGCACAAATCCTCAGCTTATTTCAAATATTAACAGATTTCTATGATGCACTTCATGTAAATAACTTCCTTTTTTCTTTTGTTGAGCTAATCAAAGTTGATCGCCTCCTTTTACCTCCACCCCGACGGCCGCCAGCAGGATGTTGGTGCCGCTGACTCCGCCCTCCTCCTGCAGCCTCTGTAACCGTGGCGACAGCAGCAGCAGCCAGCAGTTGGACACCACGGAGACGTAGCTCAGGACCTCGAAGGCCACCTGCCAGACGCCCATGTTGGCCACGGGGGGGGAGAAGGGCTTTCGGAAGAGCCTGCAGATCTTGTAGGCGTCGGACCGAATCTCGGTCAGATTATTGAGCAGCAGCAGGACAGCGGTCAGAGGAAAAACGCAGGAGAACAGACTCAGGTAGCCGAACTGCACCAGGAGCTCGATGTACTCCGCAAACAGCCCCTGTCACAGAACAATTCAGTTCAATTAAATCAAATTAAATTAAATTAAATTAAATTAAATTACATTACATTACATTACATTACATGAAATAAAATAAAATTTAAATACAATTTAAATTAAATTAAATTAAATTAAATTAAATTAAATTAAATTTCTATAGCTCTAAATCCCAACAACAACAGTAATCTCCCAGCTTTCCAAACAGAACAGGTCAGACTGGACTCTGAGTTATTTACAGAAAGCCCAACAATTCCCACCAAAAGCAGCACTAGGAGACACAGGGAAGGAAAAACTGCCTTTAGGAGGCAGAAACCTGGAGCAGAACCAGAGAGGGGGGAAATCTGCCTCAACCGGTTGGGGGTGAGAGACAGTGAGAGAGAGAAAGAGAGAGTTTTTATGGTATTTGGAATCCATTAATAAAATATTTTGAAAAGCTCAAGACACTTTCTGAGAATCCCTAAGAGTAAACCATCGAAATCTGATGGCCAAGACCTACAGAATTAAATAATTAAGGCTATTCTGGCCCCCTTTGTTATGTATGGTAGGAAAATATGTACATATATGCATTTACATGGTTAATGTTGTTTCATTACTCCTTGGTTGTATTTGTATTTGTCATGATAACTACTTTTTTTTGTCTTTCCTTTTCTTTATGGTCTAAGATGTACATGTGTATATAAATGACTCACTATATTGTTTTATTGCTTATTGATCTTGTGGGTAGAAGCACAGTAGTTCTGAGGGGTGGGGGGGGTGCAGTTTGAAATGTTTAACACACCAAAATCTACATCTTGAGCCAAGAATGTAGCTCTGTTTTGTGTTTAATAAAAAGAGATTTAAAAAAAGAAAGAAAGAGAGCGAGAGCAGGTGAGTAATGCAATAGTTTCCTCACAGGGAACGGAGGCAGGGCGCTTTGGTTCCTGAATTTGTCCTCCTCCGAGTCGTCCTCGCTCTCCTTCCTGTTGGGGGCGCTGATGAAGCGGTCCACCAGGAAGGGAATGACCACCTCCGTCACCTGGTTCACCAGCTGGGTCACGATCAGCAAAGAAGCCAAACGCTGAACGACAAAAAGGAGCCGGGTCACCGTCAGATCACCAACCGGAGCCCCGTTTACAGACATGTAGCCATCTACGCTAACCCCTTTTTCAATGGCTAATGCTACATGAAAGAGTCAGGAATTTAAACTCAGAGATGCAAAAAACAGCAGGAAAAAAGAAAAAAATAATATTTGGCTAAATCTGTATATATGTGAAATTTTCCATCTGTCATTTAGTTCATTATAACTTTTTTTTTTAATGTAAAAAGAATCTGTAGAGTAAGTACGCTAACCCCTTTTTCAATGGCTGATGCTACATGAAAGAGTCAGGAATTTAAACTCAGAGATGCAAAAAAC